TGTTATTGTGCTTCCGTATTCTTCCGTAAGTTACATTTCACAGACAAATGTCAGGCACAGGAGAGATGGAGAGTGCGACAGCGCTTAGGAAATTGGAGGAACCGTAGAGGGAAATAGTGACGAGTGGCTGGGTATAGATAAGGGAGATAAGGATGGAATACTTCAACAAAGTCAAGATGGAGACAGGGAAGAGGAAGCAAGGATGTTTCTCCAGGCAGTACAAGAGCCTTGCTTCCTATGGGGGTTGTGTACTGATGAAAACCTTCAAGTTCAAAGTAAAGGTATGCTATGGCCTTGAGACACCAGACTCTGCAGTTTCACCCCTTGTTTGATTGTTTGTTGCAGGTTTATACTGCAAAGTGCCTTCAGTTGATGTGGGAGACTCTGCTGCAGAAACGTATCTGTGAATATTCAATATACTTTCTGAGCTTGTTTCTCTCTTTCTACCACTTCAACACAAACAGGTCTTGTTGAAGAACTTTTTTGTTTTATGTCTTTCTCTTTTGAGTCTGGACCCTCGGTTTCTTACACCTTGATAATGTTAACTTTCTATCACACTGGACAACTATGCAAACAAGTATGAATAAGACTGTCTGTTAAAGGTAGACAGAATGATGTTGATGGTTTGGGCTCACACATCACAGTGGAAGATGTATTTGGTTAAAGTCTAAATAGGATTTGTAAGTACCATCTGTGTGGGTGTTCTGCACTGTTATTGTATCCACACCGAACACCCCGGCGTTTCACACTTTCAAAGAACCACAGGATTACTTTGTTCACAGAGTATGTGGGCGTCACCGAATATAAAGAATTCACATTTACAAACTTTTTCCTCTTTAATGTCACTATGAAGAGTTGGAAACTTTTGGGGTCCTTTTGCATTCCAGCCCCATTGCCTTCATTAGGATAAGTTGTGTGGGTGCAGGGATACTGAGCCATGCTTTGCAATTGTAGGGATACTTAGTGGTTACTTATGGCCTGTGTTACACCTTACATCAGTCTTCTCTTTAATTTGTTTATTTTGTTCTTTTTGTGGGGAAATAAATTCTCCACTCTATCACATCACGTTATAAAAATGACTAAGACAGGCAATAACAAGCGTTGAACAGGGATGTTTCAGGTTTTAAGGAGGTCTTTTATGCAAACTTGGCCATTACCACATTGCTGTGTTCTTCACTGCCCAATAAAAACTAAGGTTGCAGAAGAGGGCCCCCTTAAATCACTATGATTTACCTGTGTGTGTGTGTGTGTGTGTGTGTGTGTGTGTGTGTGTGTGTGTGTGTGTGTGTGTGTGCACGCAAGTGTGTGTGTGTGTGTGTGTGTGTGTGTTGGCTGTTCTGTTACTGCAGAAGAGGCCGTCTGAGTGCCGCAGAGCGTGTACTTGAGAAAGGACACCTGAGTTTGTAAATCAGATTTTCCCTCTGGGCTTTGCTGTCTGTTCTATTCTAGTTAGCATTATTATTTATCTCGGTTTTTAACTGTTAACTCCTTCCTTTCATTGTGTTTGACCTTTTTCTCTTCATCTGTTATTTGCACTTCTTGTGCACAAACTTCGCCCCAGCTTTACTCCAGATTTATGTTCTGTTTGATTCATTGCATTTGATTAATCTTTAAGTTGTTTTTTTCTTCCAAACTTGGATCAACAATGCTCCTTTGATATGGACCATACTATAACCAACTCTTTGAACTCGGCCCGGTAATTATTCCTTTCCAAGTAATCTGCCAATTTGTATCTAACTATTACCTTCTGTTGTTTTTCTCAAATGTCTGAGGATGGAAAACACTACAGAATATTTAGTATGATTAGAGATTTAGCCCTAATTAAGCCGCTCTACATAAACCCGCAACACCATGGTGGATACACAACACCATAGCGTTACACTTGGTTTTTTTTCACAGCACCACTATGTAGGAAATGTTGCTGGAATGGAAATTCTCACTCCTTTTAATTAGATCAAGCAATCTGTGAGAAGTCTTGTAGTGTTTATCCACACATTAGAGCCCATTAGAAAGCACACTGTTTGATGTTTTGACAGAGCACTGTGATGGGTCTTTATTTATTTCTAAGACATGAAAGGACACAGAGACTGAGCTTTTAAAGTGCAGATTGTTTGGCTATAATTCAGGTGTTTTTAAAAAACCATATAATGATGATATGGGCATGACAGGAACTGTCTCTGTGTTCTGTGGGGGAGGAAATACAAAATGTAGAGACATGCAGTATTCACACGTTTTTTAACCAAATAGAAAAATGTCAGCTTTGCTTTTGTAAGTGGCTTCACATAATTATAAAGGTAAAAAGCCTTCTTTAAACCAAACCCTAATCATACATACAATTTTCAGATGCAGAAGTTCAAAGTGAGTTGGCCCTGTTATCCTTTTAGTCTTCGGTCCTTGTTCATCTATCATAATTACCTCACAACAAGTCCTCCAACTCATACGACCAATTGGGCCGATTGTTCAGGCCCTTATTACGACCAAATATGTCGTTTGTTCAAGCGCTTAATACGTCCTTACGTTTTAAAGTTTTCGCCCTCTAGTGTTCCCGTTGAATGCTAACGTTACAGATGGTCGTTTATTCACAAATAACCCTCTCTGTAAAATCCTAAATTGTAGGATAGTTTGGCCATTAAAACGCTTTTTGATTAGATTTCTAGCGAGAAGTGTATATTGTACTTTTAGAATCCACGTCCAGTCGATATGTAGGATCTATAGTTTGATAGATATTACGAAGATGATTTGAGGTATGCGGCAGCCTCCATGTAAAGTTACGGGTTGAAAATAAAGCCAATGATCAAATGATTTAACAGTGATATCTGCAGTACTCATCAACTAAAAAACATCAGTTTATCCTTGTTAACGACATGTATTGGTTTAAATTGTGTACAATGCTTTTGTGTTCTTCCCATAGGTTTTTCTCTTTCGATTCTGAGAGACACCTTTCTTTTTTCAGAGGTTTTGATAGGCTAAAACATTGATTGTTATAGCCGCAATGCATTTCGGGATATGGTGTTTATATGATATGAAATTGGAAAAACATTTTTTTTAAATAAAATAATACTTTATTCCGAGTGTTCTTGCTTTTCTCTTTGGAAGTCATCACATAACGGCATTGTAATACACGGTTCGGCTGCATTAAATATTACATATTTGCCGTAGATATTTATTTATAGAGCCCTGATGAGAAGACCTTTTGACAAACTGTAAGAAATGCCGCCAAAACTGAATACGTGACGTGGATCATAAATATATTAGCCATTAAACAACATCTTCCATTTTTTTTCACACAATACTTCTCCTTGCAGTATCAACACTAATTCGGCTGACTTTTATATTTGATCCAATTGGTAGATGTACACCATAACGGTGCACAGCTGATAGAAAGGGATTTTTTTGTAGTTTTTAAAGATATTATTTACTGCCTTTCCAACTCCTGTTGACTGTTACAGGTACAGAAAGTACTGATCTGATCACCAGAAAAACACAAGGAGCCTCCAAGGTGTTAGTATGTTGCATCCTGTGATGTAGATTGACACCTGTAGCACACACTAGAGGTGTCATCCAGACAGAAATAGGAGTCACAGCCGATACGGCACAAATCAAGCAGGAAGTACAATACAAGTACTGATTCTCTGGAGTGTTGATGCAGGTCCACACTGGGGAAATATGACAGGGGTATATGTTGACAAAATGACCAATGTCAACTCGCAAAGGCGTGTGTGGCTTTTGATTGATAGATCGTATTTCATACCTCACCAAAGGAAAAGTTGGGATGATTTAGACTCCCCCACTTTAATTTAATTTCAGGTTTATTGTAATATGAATAAGAACCTCTTTATTGAATGAGCATGGTTATACTGTACTTAATAATTCAGCTGTTTGCTACTTCATACACAAAAGCCTTTTGGTGACAACTTTAACAAAGTAATAACATTAGTTTGAATTTGAATGCACAAACACATGAAAACATGATCCCATTCATGCACAAACAAGCACATGGACGTCTTAATAAATGCATGCATGTTTGCACTATACACAGACATGCATATTGACACCCATCTTGCATACAGTATGTGCACATACACAGTTACACACAGGCTCACCCATACGCACACAAGAAAACACACACAGTCACCGTGATGGCAAATGTCAACGCAGCTTACTCTCCCATGAGGTTCAGTGTCAGATCAGATTGTGCTACTTTAGTGAACAGTACATTGGTCCCACGGGTTGCTTGGTGATTTTGTGTGTGTGTGTGTGTGTGTGTGTGTGTGTGTGTGTGTGTGTGTGTGTGTGTGTGTGTGTGTGTGTGTGTGTGTGTGTGTGATTAAGAGAGAGACAGGAAAATAGAAGGAGAACCATGATGAGATCTGTTGCATAAGGAGATGCAGTGGACTGTGAAAGAGAACAGGTGGCTCCTGTTTCTGCCATCTAGCTTTATGTGCCATCTTCCCCAATGTGTGTGTGTGCATGTTTATGTCTGTGTCTTAGTGAGCGAGGGACAGAGAGAGATCTATAGCTTCTGAAGCAGGGATGTTTGCGTATACCTGCAGATCTTCAGTCATTTGCATTTGTTACACTGCCCTGTTTCTCTCTCTGTGTGTGTGTGTGTGTGTGTGTGTGTGTGGTGTGTGTGTGTGTGTGTGTGTGGTGTGTGTGTGTGTGTGTGTGTGTGTGTGTGTGTGTGTGTGTGTGTGTGTGTGTGGGTGTGGTGTGTGTCTCTGCATGTGTGTTTGTTCTTTCGTGAGCAGGGTTCCGGTTGGTTTAGAAATAATTAGAACAAGCTGCAGGAGCCCAGAGAGATCGTTCTCCAAATGTCACCCAATTAACAATCTATACTGAACACTCAACTGTTCTGTCTCATGCTGCCTTCCTGTCTGTCTGTCTCTACCTGTATGTGTCTCTGCACTCTTCTTTTCTCCCTGACAGACAGAAAGCAGAGTAAATGGTTACGTTTCATTAACATGTTTTTCCTGGTTCTCTCTGTCTTCCTCCCTCAGATCAGTCATCCAGGGCGGTGGTCAGGACTCGGCAGCAGCCTGGCTTCAAGGGACCGAAGGGTAGTGCGGGGTGTGGGGGCAGCACTCGGAGGGGACCTCTGTAATCAGCACCCCCCCCCTCTACTATCCATCTCTGCACAGCCGCCCTCCTGCTTCAGAGCGACACACTGCCTGGGAGGAGCGCCATTGCCAGGGGATCTTGGCACAATCCGCAGCCCGTAACCCTGCTACCAATCTGGCTCCAGGCTCCTCCTACTTCTCCTGCACCACTTCTGCAGCGTCAGCCCAAGCTTCACTCACTACTCCAGCTCAACTCCAAGCTTCACATCCGGGCCTGAGTCCAAATCAATGCCCAGGCTCCAGCTTAGCGGCTGCTAATCACACCGCAATTCCATCTCTGTCCTCCAAGCAGCCAGAGGGGGTGTCCTCCTCTTCAGAGTCCTTAACTCTTGGAGGTGGAGTGAGTCTGTCAGGTGGGGCTAGGAAAGGGGGAGGAGAGCACCACCCCACTAGCCATATCCCTCGTGCAGCCGGGTCCAGCGCGTCCTCAAGCCTCCACAGTCTTGTAAGCAGAGGGAGCCCCTCCCCGAGCATCTCATCCTCCATCCAGGCCTCCCCTCCACCTTCTACTCCTTCCCCAGCATCCTCTTCTTCCTCCTCCTCTTCCTCCTCCTCCATGTTTACGGGTCGTTTAGGGCAACCTCCGAGAGGCCCTCTGTCTCTGCACAGCTACAGCCGTAAAAATGTCTTCCTCCAACATTCCCTACAGACTGCCGAACTGCAAGCTCTGACGCAGAGAGACAGTTGAGGGCACAAAAACATTTACACCATCCATATTGACTTTAGTGACAAAATGTGTGTCTTTAGAGAAAAACTGCTGCTCCTTTGGTACCAGTTTGCTTGCGTTTCACTGTCCCAATTCCCCCTGAATCATCTTCCACATGCGCTTACAATCATGCTTGTATCACAATCCAGAATTACCCTTTGCTGCCATTTTGTTCTCGGATCAGGCTGTGAGTTTGTAAAAAAAGGCACTCACCTGTCTATCAAAACACCCACGTTGTGTCATTCCAACAGTTTAGATGTGCTTACGCCCACTGACACACAAAGTGCAGAGAGACGCACCACTTCTTATTCATGCACTTAGACACAGATGTAGTCTCACACACACTTAGAAATACACACACACAGACATCATTTGTGAAATATTTGCCTCATAAACTGCAGATATAACAGGGTGTTAAAACTAAGTGCAAAGATGAGGTTCGTTTTTGTGTTTTTAAAGATTTGTTGTTATCCTTTTATTTGATGATTTTTTTTATTCAAAAGTTGAACCATGTGCTGCTTAATGAATGATGTGACAGGTCATAATTTGCCCTGTTAAGATTATACTCTCACATTGCCAAATCCTTTATCCAATCAACTTCTCATTTTCCTGGATGTCAGCTGATGGAGGTCCAGAAGAAAATACATGTTTAGATGATCATCCAAATCCATGACCCTGATACTGCATGCTTTTTAAACTGTAAGGAGATTACAGGTGAGCATTTTGTACTGCAACACAAGAGGGGTGACTTTTAAAGTCTTTTAATAACGTTTAATTATCAACTCTCTACTCAGTGTTTCAATAAGGGAATCAATCATGCCGAAACTTATTAAACAGGAGTGTTTTGAGAGGTAAATGTTTGATGCATTAATAACACATTAGAAGTACTTTTGGCTTAATACTAGACCACTGTTTTTATAGAATCACAATGTCGCAAAATATGTCACATTATATACAGGAGTCAATGTGTATCTGCAATGTTAGATTAGTACAGTACTGACATGTAAAGCTTCCTTTTAATATTAGATAGCAGCCATGTGAATCATTTGGCACTTATAATGACAAAATAACACTGAGTAGCACAAAGTAATTAGCACTACGGAACATTATCTAACAAAATAAAAACACTTCAGGCAATGAAATGGAGCAAGATTTGGCACAACCAGCATTATGAATATTTTGTAAGGTTTTGTAATGAAGCCAGTCAATTCTTCATCAGGGCTTGGTATTGGCCAGGGCTACCAACTGGTGCTTTGCTAAATGACAGAATCAATATTCATTTTTAGAATAAAAAATGAATAAGGTTTCAAATAATGGCATTACAGTGAGCTGACATCCTGTATACAGAGGCAAGTGAAGGAACACATACAGCACAGAAAGTTATTTACTTGATCAAATAATGAAAGAAATAATCAGATTTGACAAACTATACCTTTTAAAAAAGCATCAACGCTGGGTTCCTGGCTGATACCCAGTTCTTATACCAGCCCTCTATTATCTTCCTGGTCTCAGATGTGTTATTTGGAAAACTGACCTAACACATAGCATTTGGTATAATAAGGCAGATCCCTATGTTATTTTTGGACAGTATGACTCATGCCTTTGAATAAGATTTACATATATTATAACTGCCATGACCTGCTGAGTCGTATCATTATTTACAATTTGGGAGCATGTGTCAACTTCAGAAATAACAAAACCACCTTCTTTTTAAATGTGAACAACTGGGCAGCAAAACAACCTCTTCACTCTGCAACTGTTGAATATATTTCCTCTGCCGAGTAAACTGTCCAACAGCCCTTTTTTCCCCGTATACGTTTTGGGGTAAACAAATCTTCTAATGTCCACCGGGAGCCGGGAGGCTGCAATGCTGCTAAGTACAGGCCAGGAGTTCAGAAAATGTTAGACTTTATAGAAGTTGTTGCCCTTGCCTGTCTCTAAACAGCAGCTGGCTGAAGGGAGGCTGTATAAATGGTGTGTATGTGTGTGTGTTGTAATGCACACCTCATGAGGCAAGGACCTGATCGAGGTGAAGAAAAGCCCAAATGAAGACAGCTCTGCTCCCACTGGTGGAAACTACTACTCTCCCTCTGGTCTGCTTCACTTGCAAACTATTCCCTCCCTTTTGTATTCTGTCTCTTCTATTTCTGTCTTTATTTCTTCCATTTCTTATTCCCCTTCAACATCTCCCTATACATTTCTCTTGTTCTCCCCAGCACCCCAGTCTACTGCATGCAAACTCCTTTTGTTTCTGTTCTCTTACTAAATCGGTTATCTTCCTCTCCCCACTATCATGTCCCAGGTCTCTCCTTCCCTCCTTCTCTTTCCCCTGCGTAGTGTACTAACCCAGGGCTTGTATTGTTATACAGTGTATCTGTACAACACAACACTGTGCGGTGGCTCTCAGTCCTGGGCATTGGGGCCTGATTTTCATTCCAGCTGTCTAATCAGGGAGTCATTTTACACCGGGTGATTGCAATTAACTGCCTGGTAGTGTAGACGGCCAGCAGTAATGTGGCTCCAGAGGACTTGTACTGGGAGGCGCAGCTGTAATGGGGAACTAAACATTCCCTGCTTGGCTTGTTTACATGTGGAGGATGACGATGCTGTGTTGCTGGCTGACCTCTTAAGAAATACTATTTACATCCCTCGTCAATGCGTGCATCATAATGCTGTTGACACTGTGAAATGTCATAGGGGGTTGTTTGGCTCTGTTTGCACTGCCCACTCAAATTATAATTAAATGTTGTTATTTTTCCATGTGTTTCCAACAGCTTTGCTCAATTTAGCTGTGTTCATATTGGGAATCCATCAAATGTATGATGATAATGAGACTTATCTGAGATGGCAGTTCACATGTGTCACTGAGGTTTTATTAAGACAACAATGCCTGTGTTAATGTAAGAATGAACTCATATTGAACTTCACCGCGTGGGAACTAGGGTCTACAATCATGAAATGGGGCACCTCACAGACCTCAATTCTTCCTCTCACTTAGCAGCATGTTGTGCATTTAAAAACCTACATTTTATTTTTTGGGAAGTTATTTATTGTTTTTTGCCTTACTTGTATTTATTGCCATAGAATCAGTTTCCTTCTTGGCACTAACAGATTTAAAAGTGGTCATGAAATGACAATTATAATAATCATGATGTTATTATAATTTTAATGAATCACATATATACTACTGTCCTAGCTTTTTACATGCTTACTGTAATTACGTTTATTTTTTCTTTACACCTTGCTGTAATAATGAAATTGAACTGTAAAATTGTACATAATTATTATAACTGTTAATGTTCAATGTTCATCAACACAAACGTTTCGTGCTAAATGACACGTAAGAATAGTGTCCACATACAGTACACTGTTTGTTGCCACATAACAGCCTGAAATAAAAAAAAGAGAATTTGCTTTTGTTGAATAATGTCAAATGCAGTCAGAATTCTGAGCTCTTACCAAAGTGCTTCTGGCAATAATTAATAATCAGAATCTTATCAAATTAATATATTTAATTGTAAACTTAGACCCCATGCTCAATTTTCCATGTACAGGCCAGTTGATTCCTTCCTAGGTGTTGGGTCGCTGGTTTACCTTTTACCCTCTTTGAAAAAAACCCAGCCTTTGCATTATGACTATTGTTGCTTCAGGTTTCTTTGAAAGAACATGACTTTGCAAACGTTTGTCTAACTGTGTCAGAAAAGTTGATGATCTATTAAAGCTGCTTTTTCAGTTCAGGCTGAAGTTGTGCGTTTAAGTATATAAAACTGTTGGGTAGATTCATACTGTAATCCTCTGACCGACTAGCCCATAAATGCTTTTGGGGTAATCCAGGAATCGAAAGGTCTGTCTTCATATAGCAGATTTGTTTCACTTTACAGATTCCTGATGAGCAGTTTGTGTAGAATTGTTTGACGGGGGTATTCAGGTCTAAAAGCGTTGCAGTGTGTGTTTACCCAAAGTGTTTCTCTTTACTTTGCCAGTTGTTACACTCACTGTTCACATGAATAATGTTTTATCAAAATATTTTTGTCCTCGTCTCTTTATTGTTCATATTTAATATAAATAAATTGCTGGAAACTTTTTGGGAGATTATGATTTGACTGTGAATATTCCATCACTTTTCATTATAAAATAAGGTGTGTCTGTAAAATGACATGGACACTTTGAAGCAATGAAGATGAAAGACGGATTTTGCAACCACCAAAAGAAGCAGTGAATAATAAAGCGGTGGATCTATGGGACTGAGGCTCCATCTCTCAGGCAGGGTAGATTTCATTGTACAGATCTCTAAAGGAATGAATGAAATCAAAGAGTGAAAGTAGAACGAACAACAAAGCGATGAATAAAGAATATTAAGGGCCATCAATCTAAAAGACTGACGAAAACTTTTCCAGCTACATCATTTGAGTTGACTCTAAAAGGTTGTGCACAGCAGTGTGTGCAGACAGAGGTAATGTTACCTGATTTGACATTAGCCTCCAACCTATTTAGTACATTTTCATTTGGCAGTGGCCATAAAGTATGTGAGTGTTTAGAAAATCAATACATTAGATTGTGTTTATATGCATGCTTATATGTGTGGGATGTAGACTTTGACTGTTTACCCCTAAGGGAAAACCTGTGCATGTTTCTCATTTCTGCACTCTAAAAACGAATTCAGTCGACCTTTCACCTCCACTTAATTAAATGCATGGTTGCAAGATAAAAATTTGAGTTAATTGATTTAGATAAACATTTTAAGTTGCAAACATTAATTTATAAGTTGTGTTGACGTAATAATGTTGGTAATTACATCAACTTAATATTGTGTGTAATTTGAACTCTGATTTCTGCATTAATTGACTTAAAACTAAAATTCAAGTTGTAGTAAGTACTGTAATGCAATTGGCTTGATAACTTAATTGTTCTACACCTTGAGTTAAGGATTTCAAGTCCACTCCCACTTAACGTGCCTGGACAAGTTCCCACAGTTAAGACTAATAGAAATATACAAAGGACATTTTAAGGTGAGTGTCATCTTTTGTCATTCAAATACAGTAGATAGCCTTGTAGTTGCACTGTATAGGCAAATTGCTGTTTGACCAAAATTAGCAGCCTTTGAACTGTGAATAGTTCTGTGAGAGGATACAAAGTAGTAGAGGCTACTGTGAGAGTACAAATACTTTGGTTACTTTTGTGATATCGCATTTTATTAAAAATGAATCTCGTGAAGCAGATCAAGGACATGCTTCTTGAGGTAGGATCGTTATTTAGAGTTGTCATTGAAATGCAAGTTGTTGGCAGTCACCCATTCAGAATATATTCATTTAGGTCATTTCTCTTTTTTTCCTTTTTCAAAAATAGCACAATACAATTGAAGTACGCAGAGAACTATAGCCATCCGCTGCCTTGTCGTGTACCTTGGAGAAAAGGAAGAGGACCTTTTCAAGGAGTTTAGCGACGTAATTAAACATCTTGAAATAAAATAAAATCCACGGACACAGTGTTTTTAACACAGGACAAAAGCACTGCTCTCTGTCAGTTACATTTTGAAGCATATTGCACTTTTGGCCACACCCCAATCAATAATATCTTAGCAACGTTCAGCATGGATAGGTGTTGACAGCAATGGCATGGGAAAAGGATTGTGCAACATTTGAAAAGTGGCTTCTGCTCTTCTCTTAACCAGTTCACATATTGTATGGAACCTGCTAAAAAGATGAGAAGGGACACTAAAACTTGCACGGTTGTGATTGACAAAATCTGTCCACATGCATTTAAACACTAGGCAAAGTACTCACAAGCACCTCTGTGTGTCTTCAGGACCACATTGCCATGACGACACACACATGCAGACTCAATAGGTGAAAACAATACCAGCGTTGCTTTAGCAGCTGGTAATAATGGCTCTGAATTAGCTAAGAGTGACATTTAAAAAGTATGCAATTACCTAATTCATTATCTCTTATGCGCTAACCTATTATTTAATGTGCTTCAAAAGGACATGAATATCGCCTTCATCAGTGACCGGTCCACCCCAGGATCTGACCATACGATGGCAACCATCGTGGTCGAGGGAAACAAATGAATGAGCAAGCATTCTGCGTTAAATGTGTTCATACTGTTTGAAATAATGACTGTCGGCAGTGTAAACATCTTTGTTACATCTTTTGTAAAATGGATGTGTGTGATCTGCAGATTGGTGGCCATTGAGAGTTTGTTTCTGTAGTTTTACAAAAACTTTACTGATTTTACACATTTAGCACTGGTTTTAAATATGCAAAGGCCTCTAACTTCATTGTGATGGCAGCATGTATTTGCTGTGTCCCCATGTCCCATGGTAATATGGCTAATGTGTTTATTTATTATTTGTGGGGCAATTTACATTTGTGTTATTTATCTTTTTTGTCAAGATTGAAATGAAGCTAAGCGCAAGTTCTTTCAGGAAGACTGGGTGTACATACATTCACTCCGCAGCTGCATATAATCAGCTCATCACAGGCGTTCTCTTTAACCTATTACATTTCACCTCTTGCTCCAGCAGCCAATCAACGTGCTGCAGCCCAACTATAAAATGGTTCTCCTCTCTCCTGCAGTCAGCTGTGATTTCAGGTGTTCATGCACCTTATGGCATGTGTCAATAAATGTTCAAACTAAATGAATTCTCTCCTGATTGAAACATCATGTGTTGAAATAAACAACTGCAGTTCAAAATAAAAAGTGAATTGCCTAATATTTTTGTTGTGGAATCAATTTATTTATTTCTTTAAAGGCAAAAACATGAAAAAGCTAAGAAAAAAAACTATTGAATACAATATATTTGGAGCAACTTCATTTATAAATGGTTGTCAACTTAAAAATGTGTGTTCACAATGATGGTAATTAAGTACATACAACTTAAAACTCCTTTTAAATCATGTGGTAAACAAGTTGGAACAACTTGATCTTTTGAGTAATCAACTTCAAAACCTGTGTTTATGCTACCAATCATTAAGTAAGTGGTAATTAAAAACACCTCTGATTGTAGAGGAAAAGCCTTCTCCCCTAACTCAAATAACTTTGTTGCTTTAAGACAATTTCATTAGAAGTTGTCTTAACTCAATAAACATCGATGCAAACTGTTGCGTTGATTTTTTTTGTTGAGCCAAGGCATTTGTTTTTAGAGTGTGGAGTCACTCAATTATCTTTGGTGAGGTAACGAATTTCTGACTAGCAGACATAGAAAAACACACTGGATTAGAAGCCATCACATTGATAATAATGTATCGACTGAAGGTCAACACATCAGTAAACACACTTCTTATTAACAGAGCTTTGAAGTCGAAAGAGATCAATGAACAGACAGTACGTGTATTTATTCTGTTGATGGGAGCCCTCACTGCAGCTGAAAAATGAACATCTTTGGGGATTGTTATGCAGTCCAAAAAGTTTAGTGCTTAAACATTACATTGATTTGTTGGTACCACTTTACAATAAGACTACACTCTAAAAAAATACACGGCTCTACTTAAATAAATTGAGGTAACACTTTGCATTGATCTTTTTATGTATTTCCAATTTGATCGATTATTAAATTAATCCGAGTACCATTTATAATCTGATTAACTCAATTAGTTCAGTACTACAAACATAATTGCTTTCACCTTTAAAATCTAAATGAAAGCTTTAGCGCAAGTTCAATAAGGAAGACCTAACTCGAGTCACTCACACGTCACTCTATGGCTCCCTTCCCCCTTCATTAAATATGAGGGCGTCACGCCTCAGCAGCCAATCGCTGCACATGCTAAATGCCTTAAATACCTGCTCTTCCTCCCTGTCAGTTGTCATTGCAGATGATCACACGCAATGGTAGTTGCAATACAATACTGCTTCTTGTGAGAAAAACCGTAAGAAACAACTAGCTCAAGATGTCCAACTCGGACAATTCGGAACACGAACCTTCTCTGGAAGTCTCCGATCCCGGTTCGGCTCCCCACAGCGGCTTATCAACAGAGGAAGACTTCCTCATCGCCCGGCTCCTGCAGCAGGGCTTTCCCACAGCCCCAGGCCTCACTCTCTCTCAGCGGCGATAGCTCTCGGACCAGGTCTCCAGCGTAGCTCCCCAGTCCGGGGCAGCAGCTCCAGCCAGCTCCCCAGAGAGCCAGGACGAGGCCGCAGCCGCGGAGGTAAAAAAGGGCAGGAAGTCGAGCCCTCCAGGATCCCGTCCCCCTCCAAAAAATCCACCCCTTCTCAGGCTCGCCAGTCCGGGAGCGTCACACCACCCCTATGGAGAGTAGCGCGCGGCCGGCTCCCTGCAATCCCTGGCTAGCTCCATGATAGCTATCGATGCTCGCCTCCAGGCTCTGGAAGACTCCGCCACAGGAGCTTCAACTTCCGTTGCACTCAGGTACTAGTTTTAACGAAAACGTTTGCACTCGACCCTTACACAGGGTTGGGGTCGTAACGGAATACATGTAACGGTGTTACGTAATCGGAAGAAAAAGAAAGAAAAAAAAAAAAAAAAATCAGTACATTCAGCTGGCGTTACATTTGAAAAAACGAGGTATAAACTGAGTGCAGTTACTTTCGTAAACCTGAAGTGAATACTTATTGGAATTATTGGTGGAAAGTTTCCTCACAATGTAATATTCATTACCGGCAGAACCGTGTGCACAGCGATGCAGCGTATCTGCGAGCGAGAGATGTAGCGTGTCCGTGAGGCCCCGCCCCGCACGCAGATGAGAGAGAGTTCTCTTTCAAAACATATTGGAAGGTAGAGAAACGGAGATGTTTAGATAAAACGTTGGAAGATAACGTTTATTGTAGCATTTATGTATTGTCGAAATTATGACATTCATAACGGGATCAAATCTAACTGAATGGCCTGCTGCTGCCGAATGCATGGGGCAAGTAACTGGGAAAAGTTTTAAAAGTGATTACATCGTTTCAGATAATAAATAATAACGATAATGTATTCTATTTAGGGGCGCCTTTCAAAGCACCCAAGGACACCTTACAATGCATACACTTTTCCAAGGAAAGGTTTTAAGACAGTACAAAGAATGCAGTCTGGGTGAGTTTTTCTTTTTATGTACGGTGCAGATGAGAGAGCTGTCAAGAATG